TGTAGATCTTTATAACGCGCTGCGTTTCTTCAATCGAAACTCATCTTCGTGGATTTTAGTCCAAATAAATATTGATTTAAAAGAGATTTTAAAAAAGAGATTTCAAAAAATTTAATTTTAAAATCTAGATTTTTTAATTGAATTTTTTAATTACGAAGAACCACGTGTTTTACTCTGTCGTAATAGTATCTCGACGTCTCATTCAACTAACGGACATTAATTAACCAATAATCTCGACGACGAGTTAAATCATACAAATGAACGCATTTATCGCGCTGACGGGCGATGCAATCTTTCTGCACTGATTTCATCTACGCGATTTCGCGTCGTATTTATCTTGTTTAACAAGATCTCTGTCGCTTGTACCCGAACTATAAAATAAAAACGGCAACTTCTGTTGATGGCTAAGCAACCACTTATTGTCATCACCTTTGACCCTCGACAATGTTATTGCGCTTTAGCGACGGTTGTAATTGCCATCCTGTTCCCAACGACACAGTCTATAGTACACAGCCTCGCCTTTTATGGCAAACTATAATGCTTCACGGTCTGTTACTTACTCAGTAGCCGATAGCGAAGAGATGAATCGCGCTGATTTCAGCGGCTGCATCGATTTATCACTTTTTCGTACTATTAATTTCGATGCAGAAGTCAATTAAATGTCTCATAGATGATTTTAACGAATCGTATATCAATGAATGTTGTAGCAAGCGCATTTCTCAATACGCAATCGCAAATTTAATTTTAGATTATTGTTTATTTGTATTTAATTTTTCAAGCAATATTTCTATAACTAAATAACTAAATTGGCTATTTAAATAAAGACATCAATCGCAATTTTCTAAAATAAATATGAAAGAAACCGATATCTGGCGTTGTAATTTTTGCTAATGTTTTTTGCATATATAATAATTGGAAGTAAAAAAATGTATATACTTCTAACAATAAATAATCAGGTCTTCTTGCGGATTTCTTCGAAAACATTCTTGCAACAGATACATAAGAATCCGAAGACGAAGGTAAAGTGCTTCCTGTGTCATGGTCGCGCATGATTCAGACTGCTACGTAATCGAAAGAATTCGCAGACGGCTGCGATCGAAGTTTACAAACCAACCACAGATTACACGTGCAAAATATTACTAAAGAACTTATTGCATTGGTAGATTGTCCGTCTGCAATTTAATCCGGAGACAATCGTCCAACATTTCGTTTCGCGACATATACCATTTTCAGACCGCGAGTTTGCATATCCATCTACACGTTGATAAATTATATATTTAATGTTAAAACTTCCTGAGTGTTATCTAAATTTTGATTATAGCAAAGGTAATTTCACGAGAAAGATATTCAGACGTGTATCATACATCTATGCTGCTCCAGAAGAGAAACTTGTCTGGAGCAACATATGTATGTGCTCGTGATTATTACCGCGATGACTCAGATAATCCTTGAAGATGCAATTCACTGTCGGATAAAATTCTAGATTATCGTTCGTTTGTATTTAATTTTTCCCGAAGTTATCCCGAAATCTTGGCATGCAAAGGACATCTTTCTCTTGTTACGTCTGTTCATTTAATGTACTGTGAAATATTGCTTATTATATTTATCAACAATATACATGATATGAGAATATTAATTAATTAAAATTTTTAACTAATTGCGATTTATTAAGATGATCTCAAATAAATCTTATGGGTCTACTTATTTTCGCTATAATTGTCGATTTCTCAGATAAAGTGACAAGTGAATAATTAACTGGTGATAGAGAGACTGATGGTGGCGTGTCATCGATGAGTGAGACGGTTTCACATAGCGAAAGGTTACTGTAGATCACGATAATTATACGCTCTGCACTATTCGTGTAGACCTTACGGATAAAATAAGCGAAGTTCTAGCTATTCCCATTAAATAAATTAATATACGTTCGTAGAACCGTTACTAGAGAATCGAGATAAGTGTTCGAGATAGTAACATCAGAGACGGCTAGAGATGCTCGCAAGACTTATGCGTCTCTAAATGATGTTTTCTAACGACGAATACGTGCTGTCATAACGAACTAAAGCACGCATTGTTGTCTTTCAAAAATCTACACTTTGCAGTAAACTAAGATTTCGATCAAAATAAGATTTTAATTTTAGATAACGCTGGTGAAAACAGTTTCGATAGATTATTTTGTATTATCTATACATTTCTTATTAAATTATTATCATTTTATTATTCGGAAAATTATACGGATATAATCATTCGTTAATCTTCGAAATATAGGAAAAAATATTGTCATGTGCATAAATTTAAAAGATCGCTAATAAAAGATAAAAAATTTATAAAGAATAAAAAAATTAATATATAAAGAATAACAACACATATTTTCATAAAGTATTTGAATGAAGTTTGTGTTGAATCTTATTCAAAATATTAAAATTAAACAAAATATTACAACAAAAATGCATTATCAGCTGCTATTATTATATTAATATGATAGAAAAAAACATAATTCAAATATATCATTTTAAATATTTTTTATAATATATAAATACAATAAATACGTGATTTTTTGAGTGAAGAAAATTAAAATTTTATATTAATGCTCGAAGTAGGTTAATAATTATATTTCAATAAAAATAATCAAGCAAAAGAAATGAAAAAAAAAAAAAAACAAAGAAAAGGAGAGAAAGAAAAAGAGAAATCAGTACACGAGAAACATTAAGAACTTGTCGATTCTTAAGTACCAAAGTATACGTTAGGGGAAAAAAGAGATGATACATAAAACCCATACTTAACATTAACTGATGTCAGATCTGGAGAAGAATGAAGAGATGTCGCACGCTTGACACGAGTTATGGAAATCGTGTACACGATTCATTTTTCCTTTTCTCTCTTTTGCTTTTCTCTCTCTTTCTCTCATCCAACATCATTTCGATGTTACCAAATTGTCCGACTAACACTGCTGCCAGCGGGCAGGACCGTTACGCAGGACCGTTCTTCTCTATCTTCCTCTCGAACATTATAATTTATAAGCGCGCCCGACACGACAAGAGTCGACCCTATTTGGTGGGTACGGAAATTTATTATCCGTTTGACTCGCTATATATTGATCTAAACATCGACCGGGATCGATACGGGCAGTCATAGATAATATACGAACAACTTTACTTTCTTTCTTTGCTCGCTCGTGATGACGTCGATGATTTTTTTTCCCCCGTATTTTAATGTCAAAGCAAAGGATCCATCTGTATTCGAACTATGGTATGCCTTACAACGGCACCGTCGCACAATCGTCATACGAGTATAAAAAAACGCAGGCGACCGCATCGCGAGAGTAAGAATGGTATACGTAGTAAGGCGCAAAAGTGCCATGAGATACCTATCGGTTAGATTTATAGAGCCATCCCGTGTATCTGTCATAACACGCTGACATTAACGGGACGATGATGGTGCATCTAATCAGTGTCCCGAGCGATGAATCAAGCGAAATGCAGCATCAGTTAGCTGATGTTAAGACAATAAAATCTGCAGCGAATTCCTTCGCTCCTAGCGGGACTGCAATTTTTCTTCATTATGCCATTCAAATATTAATATGCCACGTTACATCGCAGCCTTTATACGTGACGTACACTATGGGATTTTTCTCTAAAGGAAAGAGATATTCTTAGAATATTATAGAGAGTTATATGTTCCTTTTTATCTCTTGATTTGTGAAAAAAAAATATCTACAAGTCTCGCGAAGTGTCTCATCCAGCGGTTCTTTTGTATCGAAACATAAAATTTCGAGGCAAGATACACCCTTCGTGCACTGGCGAAGATGAAGAGTTCCGAGTTATAAGTTGACCAATCTCTTTGCCATGTAATAACGCGCTTTGTCCGGACCCCAAGGCACGATATTAAGCATTCCAGAGCAACGATGCAATAATGCTGGGCTATCCGATGCATAGGAACTAAAACAGGAACGGTACGGGCGAATTTAAAATATTCGCCGAAGATATTGCTGATCACGGTTACGCACGCAAACACACGTACACGAAGAAAGAGAGAGAGAGGGAGATAGATAGAGAGAGATTGTATAACATAATTTCGGATCGGAAGCTTCGGTTCCGATATTCCTTCCTCCGCCGAGTCGTGAATCTCACTTTGACCTATGGAAGAATGGACTAACAGTAGTCTTAACTTGATTATTGCATTCCTTCGTCCGATACTGATTATTATGGAGAAATGAAAATTGATAGAGATTGAATAATCTTCGCGAAATACGCGACATTGATCGGTTCGTCGGGGAATTTACATTTCCCGAAATATATAATGAATTATCTATATATTAATAAAACTCATTTAGATGCTTGTTCGATGAGGAGAGACATTGGGCCACCTGATAATCTCCCGGAAATCTTTTCCATTCGATCCATTAGAGTTCAATTAGTTATTAAGTCGCGCCGTTACACGATGCTTATCGGTAATTTGACGGGAGAAGTTCATTACCAGGTGCGAACTAAAAATATATCTCGACGTGTGCTATCGTAAATAATGTCGCGATATCCATTTACGATATTCGGCGACTTTGTGATTCACGATTACAACCCATCTTGTATATGTTGAACAAAACTCATTGTGATTAACATATAAATCAAATAGATGATATATAGAAGATAAGAATTTTATCTCGAAGTAATTTATTTTTTATCTTTCTCGGATACAGGCAATTTATATTTCTTTAGGTTTCTTTTAAATACATCTACTAAATATTTTATCAATATTAACGCATTGCTTCTGTTAATAGACAGTTTCTCATTGCTCTCATATTATGAATGTTACCATTTTTATCATTTATGAATATTATCATTATTATATCTCTCAAAATATATATATTATATATATTTAAAAATATGTATTTTTTAATATATATATTTTTAAATATGTATATATATATATTTTTTGTACGTCTATTGAATTTTTGTTGTTTAAAAATTTTTGGATCTTACTACAAGAGTTGTATATTAACTTTGCAGATATGAAACCTTCGGACAGGAGCGAGAAGTCTATGTTGTCCGGAAACGCGCAACCGTCGGACGTGTTCTGTTCGGTCCCAGGACGATTATCGTTACTAAGCAGCACCAGCAAGTACAAAGTTACGGTAGCAGAGGTACAAAGACGGCTATCGCCGCCGGAATGTCTGAACGCGAGTCTCCTCGGCGGCGTGTTACGAAGGTAAGGCGTCAATTTATAAACGCTATAATTAACGCACAAATCAATTTCGCGACTCGATATAAAATGTGTAATTACATCGATTTCTCGATAAACGCTCTTTTTCCGTGTAATGCTCATCGAGAATAGTTTTCTCGCCAGGGAGAGAAAGAAGGAAAGAAAGAGAAAGAACGATTCATTCATCCGCGTCTTTAATCGCGCACACACTTAAAGTCCCTCGGGCTCTCTCAGCAGCCCATAAACAAACCGTTAGAATAATTTGGCGAAAGATTAAATATCGTTCCCGTGAGAATCGGCACGACTATCGGTTAGGAAGGCGCCCGATATGCGAGCAATACCGTTGTCTTGAGAAAAGCTGATCACAAGTCATACATGTTATAAAATTGTAGATGTAAAAATTGTGTCGCTCAAAAAAATCGGAGAAAAAAATCGGCTGAAAAAATGTCATATATTCGGAGAAGAGGTGTGAGTCTAAAGATATAATATCTCTTATATATTCTCTCATACAGATGAATGAATATGAGGCTCGATCGCGATTTCTCATGAATATATTCCGTCACAGGAGACTAACATAGGGCTATTACATTTTTTTATTACAAGCATTACATTTCCTTACAAAGCGCGATGATCCGTGGGCCACCGGATACCCTGACTAGGCAGTTGTACACAATATCCCGACCATTGATTCCACGGGAGAAAGAAAATACGAGAGATACACGGTGTTGCATTAAGCCGACATTTCCGGCCGTGTATCGAAATAATCGATGTAACTGATATGGGTCGCGATCGGGACAATGCGCGAGTTTAAAAGAAGGTAAGAAATGGAGATCGCGATATACGCACCCGTTACACGACTTTATCTATGAGACTAATTAATAAACCCGCGACGTGTTCGGCTCTCGTCCGGTTCGTTTCTTACACCGAGAGCACAGACAGCCACCTGATTTATGGAAGCTTCTCACGGGAGAGATGCACCCTTCTTTATCTGATTCGCGGCTTTTTATCCTAGCCTAGAGAACACTGTGCTCATTGCGCAATCCTTTATCACCGAAGGCGTGGATGAATTACCGAGCAAGTTGGCCAGATATTCTCCCGCGTACTCGTATGTAGATGCGACTTTTCACGCTGAATCCTTCTCTCGCAATAGACGTTGCGAAATTACCGTCAAGCCATCGCAAAATCGCGCTCCGTTATTTTATATTCGCGGGTCTTCATAGGTGAATATGTATAAGAAAATTCATTGAAGATCGGTAAACACGCGATAAGAACGAAAATTTAGCAGAATGATAATAGATTTGAAATACACAGAGAGAATTTCCTCTCTTAGAATTTATTCTAAAAATCATCAAAAAATGCTATTAATATGTATATAGTAAAATATTAATCGAATATATTTTATATTTATTTATTGTGGTAGATATTAATATTTTTTTTATTGCGGTAAATACTTAATCAGAACTCTTATAAAATTCTTCAATACCATAATGTCCCACGATTTTCAGGAAAATTCTCTATGCGTAGAATTAATAATAATAATAGAATAGAATAAATATATATATAATATATATATATATAACAATAATAGATTAATAAAAATAACAGAATAAATCGAATATTGAATCGAATAATAATAATAATTTTTATAACACAAACAAAAATGAAAATCGTAAGAAACGTCAAAGATGCATCTTCTCACGTCCCCTTCACCATTCACATAAAATCTCTTAAACAAATGTCTCAATTCCGCATTCAACGTGAAATCTGTATTATGAAAGAAACGTGAGGGTTCCGTAGCAAAAGAAATATTGCGGTATACGTACTTTCATGTATCATACATCGCCCACGAATTGTTTCGCTGTCAAGTGACGGAGCGCGGCGAATCTTTCGCGTATATATACAACAGGCGGAATAAACTGCTAATAAAGCGGACCGATCTATCCCCGATGCAAATGAGACATTAATAACGCGGCGTAGCTCCGAGTGTCAATTCTCCTCTCGGTGCGCGAGCTGGGGATTTCGCTGCCTCGGGCGAACGCGGCATCTCGCACCGACGGTTATAATTCATCCGTTCGCATAGCGATCTGACCGATAATTACACGAGCTGGGTTGAGACTTGCCACCATAGATTCTCCCTCTCTCTGCTATACAGTACCCTCCTTTTGTCTCCCTCCCTCGTCACCTTAGCCTCATTCCCGGCTCACATGTGCTTCTCGCTTCCCCCATATGAGGATCCGACGATCGTAATACGCCTCGAGAGATTCTCAAAGATCGATTGTGCGCGGTATCGCTGCCCTCGCGAGTGCGTATATGCATACTATAACGCTTTTGTCGCGGAGATGCTTGTTTTCTCTCATTGTCGGTATAGATTTTTAACGCTCTGAGCGGCATTTCGTCATTTTTCGCGCTGCTCTCGGTGTGATATTTATTTTTATTTCACTGTACATATATATAGGTACGCGTTGGATTTATCTCGTACGATTTATTATTAATATTGATGGAAAGAGCTTTCGAAATTATTTCATTTAATTTACTAAATGCATCGCCATTTAAATACTTTTTGCTCGCTGTATTTAAAAAAATACAATGATATGTATATATATTTTTTTAAGTTTTCTATAATATAATATGCATAATACTCTTTTATCTCTGTAATATATTCTGAACCGTACGAGCTTTGAATTTTAATTACAAAATACTTTAAATATTGTAATTCTTTTAATCTGAAATTTACTAGGGGGATTAGCATAATCCTCACCTGCTCTACAAATTGCCTAATCGAATACTTTTAGATTTAGACCAACATCTGCTTAAAAGTCTAAAAAATATTGCACGAAGATTGTCGGTTAAATTAAATTACGACTGATTTTCGTCTTAAAATAAAAGCTCTTTTTCGATTTTGAATTCATTCTTTTTTATTTTTCTATATCATGTGTTTCTTCAAAGCAAATAAGCCAATAACGTATAAATTATTATATAAGCAGTAGATATGTTAATATTATAATTATACTATAGTTTTCATTTTGCGGCAAAAAATTGTGACAGTGATGTTTTATTATTTCCGATGCGGATCTCATTAAATCTGATAATAGCATAAGTACATCGTACATATAGGATATATTAACTGTTGAAAATAATAAAATAATGCCCATCGTAGAATCAGATTTTGATAGTTTGTAGATTTTTTACGAATAATTAATAAACACATGATATAAACTTTATATATTCATTATATTATGATATTTTGAAAAAAAATATATATCCTATTATAAACTACAAATATAATATATACGTATAAATATAATATTATATACAATATTATTATATATTATATAACATATCATATAATATAAAATATGTTTTAAATGAAGAATTCTAGTTGTAATTAGAGAATTCTAATTAATACTAATAATATGTAAAAATATATTAAAATATATATATATAGTAAAATATCTGACAAGATTGAATTGAAAATACCTAATACGAAATTAGCAAAGATATTATAAGGACGATCGATATCTCAATAAGTCGTGCGCAACATTGTTCGAACGCGCGTCACGCTAATCGTTGCTAATTATCATTTCTCGTCATTCTCTCTCTCTCTCGCAAAAACGAACGGCACGGAGGATATTTGAATGAGCCTTGATCGCGTCAGGAAGTCCTTTCGGTTTACTAATGTCGCGGCATCCGTAGACGATTAACGATGCCAGTCGTTTCGAGTAATCAGGGGAGAACAAGGAATCCCGGCGCGCCAGGATTCCTGTCGGCAGGATCGAGGGGGTGCAAATCCTCGCGAAACCCTAACGTAGGAGAGAAGAGATGCGTCTGATTGTGAGCGGAATGAGGAGCCTCCTTGGGACAAGATTCTATAATGAGTGCAGCGTCGCTCTCGTCACGTACGAAGACGAACGGCGACAACGATCGTTAAATTCGATTTTGTCGTGCGTTTATTTCATGCGATCAATTAATTCGACCGAAATTCCTTCGCCGTGCATTGATCATACGTATCGATATAGTAATTATTATCGGTGACGTGTGAAAAATTTCCGCGATCAATTCTATTGATGAATTGAAATTCTATTGATCGCGAATTTTCATGGATCACTTCGCAAAATGCGTGTACTGAAAAAAATTGTTAACTCGATTAAACCTTTCGAGTAAATATTATTTTATTAATTGAACATGTGTATAAAATATTTAAATTGAATATGACATATTAAATCTAACAAATAAATGTATTTTTGATTTAAATACTAATATATGTTAAATTTTTTTTCAATATAGATCGAAATAAGAGTGCGTATATTACTCAGGAATATAGTTTTAACAATTCTGTCAATTTAATGGCTTATTTTAGATCTTGGTTGCAATATAATATACAATAAAAATATAAATTAAGAGGTAAAGAATAATTGATTGTTAATAGCATTATTTAAATTCATAAATTCTATTATTAAGAAAAAGATTTTAACGTATTACATTTTGCAAATAAATGGAAATGCAATATGATAATTTATACGATATAATATTGTATGAATTATAAGATAAATATAGAAAAATCAGACAAAGAGAGAACCGAAATATCATACTTAATTCATGTTTACGTAACAAAATAAAAATTTTGATAAATGAAAATCTCGCTTTTAATCATATATAGATTAAATTAATGGCTTTTCGATCATGTTTAAAAATAATGTCTCAATGTCACCAGATACATATTGAAAGAAGATAATTTTGAAAAAATAAATGCTGAACGTAAATTCGAAGGAGCCGATATTAATAATCTATAGCGGTAAAATGTATTAATTGCCGAAAGCAAAGCGAAAAATTATCCGGGCGGGTCCGACAGTCGAATCGAACAAAGGTAGGCGATACGCGTTACCGTTATAACAGGCCAGGATGATGGATGGACAGGGTGTGTTAAAGAAAGAAGTCGCTGCTACTATCGCATGCCCGTACAAAAAAAAATTTACTTCGCAACTTCGTCGTCGGATTAACAACAGGAAATCGTCGTGCGACGATCTTCGCGCAAGACGATTAAAACGCAATTTTCGATGGTGTCTTAATGAACTTGGTTCGAAAAAAAAAAACACATGGAACGTATCTGACCTACACGATTCAGGGCCAAATAAAAGATTAAAATTTTTTATTCTAAAATTTATTTCGCTTTCAGCGAGAGTTGCTTGTCTATTTATTTGCTACGATATTAGATATTAATTATATTGAAAAATTAACTGTAATATATTATATATATATATAGTCCTTATATTTTCTTTGACAAAAAGAGCCATTTATTTAATTAATGATTTTACTTTATTAATGAATTTATACATACATATATATATAGTCTTATATTTTCTTTGACAAAAAGAGCTATTTATTTAATTAATGAAACTATCTATGAAGTCATTTAACACAAAATGCGAGATCAAATACTAGTATTAAAATTATATTACTTCAATCTTGATCCCACTTTATCATCAAAACATTCTTTGATAAAACGAAAAAGATGTATCTAATTACACTGAACGAAATTCCACACACACAATTACAAGGATCCTTCACTTTAATCAATGATTAAATGCTTCATCTAATTCTAATTAACCTACATCTATCGAAGGAGACTATAAGAGAGCCAGCAAAAATACTACCTATACTGATGCTCGCGTTACAGCCTGAATAGATTGCTGTGCGAACATAGTGCTTCTTTCATGATCCTATTCCGCAAAACGTGAACAAAATCATCCTCAAACGTGCGTTGCACCGCACGTCGAGTTACTCAATCGCCGATGACACATGCGTAATCGCGGATTATGCTAATTTACCCGTATTTTTTCTCCCTCTCCTCTTTTTCTTTTTGAGAGATCGCGGCGAAATGATTGATGACGGAGTTCCATTTCGAAATTCTCACGCGTCGAGATCATTACACGTACGTGGGTGTTCGAATAACGCAAATATTAACGAAAATAATTAACTAAACATCGTAAATATATGACAATTGTTCGAATATTTTTTTTGACAGCATATATAAAATCCTCCGTTGAGAATTAATTAAGTTGATTGTTTCCCTGACGTGTTTGTGCGAGGAATTAATTTTTAATTCGACTTGGCGATATTAAAACATCAATGCAAGAAATATAAAATAGTACTGAAAATGTAATTCATATAAGCGTCATTTAAAAATGTAAAAAAACATAAAACGATATTTAAATTATGCACGAATAAATATAAAAATCAAAATATATACAATATATATTCAAATAACATTTCTATCGATATATCTTTCAATTATATATGACAATGAATTTATTGTCGATTATCATACATCGTATATTTAATTGATATTGTTAAAGGTATGAAGAAGCTTTATGCTAAAAGGGATAATTTTATATTTTCTAGAGCGAAATCCAAAAACGGCGGACGTCTGCTTAGGGAAAAACTGGAAAAAATTGGTTTGAATCTGCCAGCTGGCAGAAGGAAGGCAGCCAATGTCACGCTCTTAACTTCTTTAGTGGAAGGTGAGTGTTTTCTCTTATTTCGAAAATTCGATTATAAACTCATTAGGATTTTATATTAAAAAAAAAAAAAAGAAAGAAATATCTGTCACACAAACATCGATTATTAGAGATCGATAAATTTGATATAGCTCGCGCGTTACAAACTTAATAGTCCTGACATGTTAATTAAATATTAATATATCGCACAATGATTTATGATTTTACTAAGAAGATACGATTAGCATTGCCACATACATTATACATACTCGTTTCTATTCCTGATTTTCAAGTTTTCAATGTCGCATTAAATATGAATTTCATATACAATCTGCCGTTCTCTTGAAATGTAGTGAAAACTTAAATATTTTTGATAAGCAAAAGCATTTCTACTTAAAATCCTTAAAAATTCTTATGCTTTAAACAAATTAATATTTCTTTAAACAAATTAATTTCAACTTGAATTTAATAGTACAATTTGAAACTTAAAGTTGAACATTTTTTTAAATACAAAGAATTACTTAAAAAATGAAATTATAAAAAATGGAATCCAATAAAGCTTTAACAAAAAGAAATTAAATTTAGGTTTGAAAAAATCTGCTAAAAAAGATAATACACACATATATATTTCTAGAACAATTTATATATACATATATTTAAAATATTGGTTTATGCAAATTTCTTCATATTATGTGCATTCCAATTTAAAAAAAAAAAAAATACATTTGTCAGATAAAGTAGTATATTAAACTTGTTTGTGAATTCAATAATATTCTCATAATTTTTCAATTTATTTCTCAGAATTTATAAAGTTATTTATACATATCTTGCAATTGCTTCTAAAAATCTTAATATTTTGCCGTCTCAAATTAGTGACATTATCTCCCTAATTAATTCTGTTGCATTTAATTTGAAAAACAATATGCTATTAATGGCATTTATCTATAAAATGCCTCATTGTAGTAATAACACGGAGTGTCATGATTCACTCTATAATTAATAATGTTAATATCTTGTTAATGAAACTCGCCATATTTATCGAAAAATACATGGGTGCAATAATATCCCGATATTATATATGTGTAACATTTAATTACTCGATTTACAGTCATTGTCTCCTAATTTCGTACAATAAATGTATACATTACATAACATTAGTTGACGTTGTTATTAACATCAATAATTTGGAATTAGAGTGACATATACTTATGTCATTTTGTAAATTAAAATTAAAGTGGAAAAGAAATAGTAGATTTAAAATATTTCGTGAAAATTATAGAATGTATCTTGGTTGTGAGATATCAGAAAAAAATAACATCATCGATATATATATATATATATATTTAAAAAATTATGATCATAAAAATATTTAAGTTTTCACTACATTTATGTAAAGTATTGTTCGTTATGCGAATTCTGATGGGATTCTTTACTATTAAAATCAATAATGACGCATTAGCGATAATCCAAGCATAATTACGCGTTTTCTCGGCAATTTATCGCGAGGGATAAATATAACGCTTTCCGATTTACTGCCGTCATAATTTATGCGAGGTTACCTCTCCGCTCGTCTTTACACCCTTCTCTTGTTGCGACTCCGAAGAATTACATTCCTTGTGACGCCCACTTGTCTCGTAGGGCACAGTGATGAAATCATCTCTTCGGAATAGCATACGCGCGTTAAGGCAAATTTACACGGTTTATGCTCGATGATGATTTCAGATGAGTCATTCAAGTGGATGAATAAATTTTTGTTTAGACACGCAATACCGGATTAAAGTCTCGTAAGATGTTTCACATCTTACCTGACCAAATATTATAGGAAAATAAATATTACAGTATACATATACATATATTTTCCCTTTCATTTAAAAGCTGCATTAAATTTTATCTTTTATCTAAAGTATCAATATAAAATTATACAAAATAATATCAAAAGTTATTCTGTTTGTAATTATCCATAGCTTTTAATAATCATACTGATTTTTGAAGTTTCGGAAAAAGGAATGAAATTAAAGAAACTAAAAGTGATAAATGCACGGCCAACTTATCGAGCCGAATATTCGAGTTGTTCAATCAAATAACATTTATTTCATGTATAAATTATTAAGTTACAATCATTGAATATTAAAACTAATGATTGTAACTTAATAATTTATACATGAAATAAATGTTATTTTATTGAACAACTCGAATATTCAGCTCTCGATAAGTTGGCCTTGCATTTATCACTTTTTGTTTTTCAATATACGAGCGAAACGTTGTATCAATTTATTTGTAAAGAAACTAGTTACATTTCCTTGATTTTTGTCAATCTGTTTTTATCTATATAATCCATCCACTGCATCGAATGATTCTTAGCCGGACGATTATCGAAAGTGTAAATTCGCCTTTAGGAGGGCCTCCTTTGTTCTTCCGCGTTATGACAGTAACAACCTCGGAGTGCAATCTTGTTGCGCCGGATACACGGGAACGGTTAATCAGAGAGAAAGAGACTCCTACGGGATATCCCGAGTGTTGCTGCGCGAGAGCGCTTAATAACGAGCGCGCAACAAATGCGTATGTGCGTACAATCGCCCTGCCACGCACCTCGGCCAGCAGTGCTCTAATGACGCGCCTGGAAGTTCGCCGGCATGGACGTTGATTATAATTTATGGCCGGTGAGGCTTTCATAAAACATCGAGGTTCTTGCTTTTCTTTCCTCCGCGGCACGCGTACCGTAATCCTTCCTCGGTCGGAGAACCCAAAAATCCGAGTGTACGCGTATCTACTTCGCTAAATTGCAATATGTATAGTATACAATACCCTCCATAAGTTTGGAAACACCTTACATTTTACAGTTAAACAATCGCATGGCAGCGATCTGTGTAGATTTTTTGTATCGATAAATCTGTTTTTTTTTTGTTATCACGATTAATAATATTTCAAATAATATACTGATAAAAAATATTCCATTAAAATTATATTCTTGCATGTTACGAATATCTAATTAAAGAAGATTTCTTTAAAGAATTTTTCTTTTAAATTAAGAGGATCCTTTTGACAGATCTGTGCAGATTTTTTGTATAAATAAATCATAAAATAAACAAAATATTTAAATAACATTTTTATTTATAACAGATCACTGCCATGCAATTCTTTAACTGTAAAGTGTAAGGTATTTCCAAATTTATGGAGAGTATTGTACATTCGCAATATTTCTAAGAAAATGTCAAATTTTCAAAAAAAAAAAAATTTTAGAGAATTTTTAACTCAATCTTCACATCTCCCTAAACAAATAATGAATATAATAGATGAGCGAGGAACAGTGATTCGTAAATTGGAAATAATATCTTAGTAATAATATATTCATAAATTGGGCGATGAATTATGCGATATTCATAAATTGTGTCTATATTTTCAGATATTTAATTATGGTTCATTACGATTACGTCCTGATTGTTATTTCACGATGTATAAGTTGAAACTAATTAATCGCATTGTCTGTTACTTATACTGACATCGTCGTGTTATATAATCCTATTATTGGAGTACAATGAAAGTGCATACATCAGTTTGTCGATTTATATTAGCTATTAGCTATTAAATAAATTAAATCAGTGTATGTTTTAAATGGCGTTCATGATGCATTTTCTAGAGCCACGAATTAATATCACTTTTAATAAAGCGAGACTAGATACGTTCTCAAACTCTCTATCTTCTACAAATATTTACATGTGTGAATGGAAACGAAAAATAAAGCTTATTAATTGCACAGGCGGCTTATTAATCCCGTCTTTCCGGTTTAATACAGGGGGAAGAATTCAAAAAGAATTTTAAATATATATGTTTGCCATTACATTTGTACATGTGAATCATTTCGTATGCAAGCCTGAAGGTGAGGGCGATCACTGTTATTAAGTGAGTCGAAATTCATATAATGTATTCATAAGCATATGACTTTACGATGATTTCGTGACGTGATCCATGATTTCCTTAATTAAATATCTGAGATTCTATCACGCTTTAATGACGGAGATGTTTCAATAATAGTGATGAACTAATGGCAGCGTGATTACGAGATTATTTTTAAATTTTTACACTAACGTATAATACACAAACTCGACGAATCTCGTGTTTTCTATATATAAGAACGAAGATTATGCAATAGATCATTCAGAAACTATATGCTTTAATATAAAAATCTAAAATATGTATTTAAAAATTTTAATATTAAAAAATACGTGGCAAAAAAACAATGCCCAATGTGTAACAAGAATGTATTCAGCAAAAAAGGAAGCAATCTCTCAGTCTGAGAAAAATAAAAATTTGACGATATTTAAATTAATTAAACCACCGCGGAATAAATAAAATTGCAATTATTATTTCAACTATAAGAGCTAATAAACCGTAATATTTTTTTACGTTTAATATTGTCGATATCAATATGATAATTAATTGAGATAATGTAAAAAGTGAAGCTTAATAACAAAACGATAAATCAGATTAATAGATTCAAGAAGAAATCTATTTCCCTCGAAAAAAATTTCTTTTTGTGTTCTACTTACGTCATTTATAAATCACTGTCGTAATACCGATTCATAGAATCTTAGTTAGTTAATTTACGAGAAACATATCACACATGTTATGTTTTTAGTCTATTCTAATTATACAATAATTGTGGAAAATAGAACGGAAAAATTACGCGAATTATACACGTGTGCATATGAGAAAAAGTGCACGTTTTACGATAAATAATAAAGCTTATTAGTGTAATAATTTTGTTATATAACGGCAATTTGTCACATTTTGTCTAATTAGAGGAAAATCTTACGTAGTTGGGTATAAAGAAAACCGATGCTACAAAAAGAATGTTGTCAAAAGCGCTTACGAAGTACAGGCGAAAGTGTGGGAACATCTGTTCGAGACGCGTAGTTGTGAATATATTCATTATGCGTAGATATATCTATATATATATCGCGTAGACTGCGTCATTCATACGTAAATTCGTGTCTGATCATCAATGACATAATGTGCCTACGCTC